CTCACCGCCCCCCTTCACGCCGCCCCCGCCATTTTGCGCCGCGCCGCCTTTGTGCCCGTGGGCCCCGGCGCCACGCGGCCCCGCTCCGCCCGGGGGCTGCCGCACCCCCTGCCGGTGGGCGGTGCGCGCGTGTGGGGAGAGGGCTCTCGCACGCCCACCCCCCGCCGCCGCCGCTCTCTCCCCCCGCGCATCTCCCCCGCCCCCGTTACCTGCTGCCTCCGAACCGCCCGGCGCGCAGTGAGAAGGTGGCGCAGCGCCTCTCCGCCGCCCTTTATAGCCGCGTGAGGGTAGGGCGGGGGCCCGCCCCGCCGCGACGCCGTCGAATGGCAGCGCTGGGGCCGGACCGGGCTACGTGCGCCCGTGCTGCGGGTACGGCAGCTGAAGATCCCCCCTGTTTCCCCCGCCCCGCCGCCCCCCGTTAACAAAGGCCCCGCTCTGGAAACGCAGGGTCCGTAGCGATCACCCTCCCGTCGAGCTACCCCAAGGGGGTTGGTGGTGCTGGTGGCCGTGGTGAAAAATGCACCGGTCCTTACGGGGAGGTGTCCCCAGAGCGGGGATGGGCGGCTGCAGCCCTGCCAGAGGAGGCAGGGAGGGTGATAGCCGGTGAGGGGCTGCTGCTGCCGGGCTCGCTGCTGCTCCGGAGGATGGTATGCGCTGTTTTCACCTGATAACGAAGGGCAGGTAGCCACCCGCCCCGGCTGCAGCCTTTGCCCAATTGGATGGAGTAGTATCCAGTATCCGAAGGGACCTACAGGGAAGCCGGAGAGGGACTGTTCGTCAGGAGCTGTAGTCATGGGAAAAGGAGTAATGGGTACAAATTGAAAGGGAGGAAATTTAGGATGGATATTAGGAAGAAGTTCTTTACTGTGAGGGTGATGAGGTACTGTAACACGTTGCCCAGGGAGGCTGTGATGCCCCAACCATGGCAGTGTTCCAAGCCAAGCTGGATAAGGCCTTGAGCAACTTGCTCTAGTGGGAGGCGTCCGTGCACGTGGCAGGGGGGTTGGAACTGGATAATCTTTAAGGTCCATTCCAACCCCTAACATTCCATGATTCTATGGTTGCAAGGCTAAAGGGACTGAAGGGATGCTCGGGTCACCCCGAGGGAGCAGCGGATCCCCATTGCCCCCGGCCCTGTCTGGGAGTTCTCCCGCCTCCAGGCTGGGCCCCCCGGTCTGGGTGGGTTTATCCAGGCGTGCTCTGGACGGGGCCCCTGGCCGGGCGCTGCCCCAGCAGGCCACGGGCGGCAGCGTGAGCACCATCTTAATGAGGCACTGCGGCACTGCTGCCGCTGCCCGCGGGACGTGACGGCGGAAATCCTGCTCGTCTGCCGCCTCGGCCCGCCTTCCCTGGCTGCCTGCGAGGAGGAAGCGCTCCTGGCATGGCCGCTGCCCGGTTCCCCGCCCCCCATGCTGGGCTCCCTCACCGAGCCCTGCCGCCTCCATCCCCATGCGGGGCAGGTGCGGCGGGACACACCCGCTTTAGGTACAGCGCCCAGAGCACGCACAAATCCCAAATATCCCATCCCGGAGGAAGGTGTGGGAACAGTGGGAATGGAAATCTGGGCTGTCAGAGCGGGAGGGAGTGGTGGGAGCTGGAATGTCCCTCCGGCTGCTCGGCTGAGCAGGGCTTTGAGGATAAGGGAGGGGGTGGGCAGGCTGGGGGAACCACACAGGTACTGGGGTGGGGAACAAGAGAGGGGTCATGCAGCTCAAACGTAACCCTACTCTCCTTAAACCACTGCTATTCCCGGTGCTGCTGAGGGGTTGGTGGCTAAGTTTAGACCCAGCTGAGGTTACAACCTTTTCTTAAAGGCCAGGACATGGTGATGGCTCGCGGGGCACAGCAGCAGCGCTACGAGCTCGTGCCGGGGCCGGTGGTGCCCCAGCCGCAGCCCACCGAGGCGGGCTCTCGGGGGAAGCTTCAGCGCAAACAGGAGGCCCCGGTGTTTGTTCTGGCGGGGGCAGAGTGCGGCCGGGGTGAGCACCGCGGCCCCTGTGCCCGGTCGATGCCTCACCCGTGTCCGCCCCCCCGGCCGCACCGCGCCGCAGCCGCGCGTGCCGCACGCCCCACGCGGAATGGCGGCGGCGCCGGCAGGGCCCGGCACGGCCCCGCGCGTGGGGCCGGGGGCGCCGGGCGGGCTCTGCCACCGCCTCCCGCCCGCCCCCGGCCGGGGACAGCCACCGCCGAGCGCGGACGCGGCAAATTAGTACAGCTTGTTTAATGAGCGAGTCCTCAGGCTCCCTCAGGGGAGCAGGGAGAGTGCTGCCGGCGGAGCGGGGGCTCAGCGGCCGCGGGGCAGCTGCGGAGCCGGGCAGCTCCTCCTCGTACCGCCGCGCCGCTTCCTCGCTGCCGCAGCCTCCCGTTTTCGGGGCGGGAGCTTCAGGGCTTCGCGCAGCGGTGCGCCGTGCTGGTTCCCGAGCCGTGCAGGTTCCCGAGGCTGGGTGCCCTCCGGCTGCGGAGAAGCGGGCCTGGTGAGCCGCCCAGCGGCGTCCTGCCCGCCTGCTCTCGCCCCGGCCGGGCCCCAGCACCGCGCCGGCAGCACGGGCCGTCCCCGGTCCCGGCCTTGGCGGCTGGCAGGTGGTGGCCCCACAGCCTGCCCCGCTGCCCCATCCCCTCGCTGTCTGTGCGCTCAGCTCTGCCCTGAACTTCTTCCCTGCCCGCTTGCTGGAGCCCACGCTCTTGGCCCTCTCACCTCGGAGGCCCTCCAAAGCTAGCACCCCAAACCACTGAAGGTCCCGATTCGGTCCAGTTTCAGCCCGAAGCAGCCCCTTGGCATGGCCTTCCAGGCCCAATCTCCAGGCAGTGCCCACTTGCGACTGGCGAGGTTCTTGCGCCAGAGGGATGGACGGGCAGCTCTAGCCCCTGACGGGTGGAAGGGGAGAGTAGAGGAGAGCAGCTGAGGACCGAAGCTGGACCCCTCCTTCGTGTCCTCTTCGGTCAGCGTGGACTCGGGCTCCAGGGGCAGCAGTCGTGAAAGGAGCATCTGGGATAAACGGAGGAGAGAGGGGTGATGCCTGTGCTTCTGGTGATAAGCCTGGTACCCCCTGGTACCCACTGCCCATACCTTCCTGTGGGCTCAGGCAGGACATTGAAGTGATGCCTGCTCACAGCACCGTGCCTGTGACATTGCGTCCAGACACAGGGAAGCCAGCAGCTCCCACTGTCTGAAATGACTTTGTTATCCAGAACAGCAGGCAGACAGCTGCTGTGAGCTCTGCCTGCAGGCAGATTACCCTGCGATGTGAAACCATACACACGTCCTGCCCTGCCCCAGATTTGGAAGGTAACTCTTCGGTCCTTGCTCCTTTTGTGGATGCTGAGCATCTCTGTGTGCTCGGGCTGCTGTGTTACTATTTCATTTTTCCAGAGGGCTGCTGGGAAGGATGGTCCTGCTTCAAATACCTGATAAAGATGAGGGAGAGGCAGGAGCAGAGCAGGTGTGAGGAAGAGGGGCTCCCCATCTGCTGGGAATCCTCTAGGCTGGCTGTGCTGACTGTAAGCCCTCAGCACTGCTGGGAGACAAGGGTTTGGGGGTGTGTTGGGTGCAGTGGAGGCATGGCATTGCTGCCCACAGAAGCAGCCTGCAGGAGCCGTTCTACATCTGTCTCTCACATGGATGCTGAGCTAAGGCTGAGGATGCCTTTGTGCAGCTCTTTGTGGTAGCAAGTTAACTGAAGCGGACACAGGCATCCTCAGTGAGGAGTGAAAGTGGTGAGTCATAGCAGGATCAGTCTTGTGATTTTAGTTCATGTCCTGACTATTTCCCTGTGGCTTTCCCAGGGTGACGTAAAGGCAAGGTGCTGGGGCTCAGGTTAACGTTTGGGTAAGAGGGAGCTGGCTAGATTGGAAAGTCAAAAATATTTTTGCTGTAATTGCAGAGGATAAAGATTTACTCAAGCGAAGAAGCTCTTAGTTGGTATCCTAACAGGGCTCTTGGTCTTAAAGAGGGTAATACTGAGTTTAGGAGCAAAACTTCTGGCCTAACAGGATACATCTTCCCTCTGAAATAACCAGACCAGAACCATGATAAGAGACATGACTGTAATATCTGGTGGCTGCTGACACAGAGTGGGCTTAGAAAGGACCTGTTAAAAGGTTTTTTCACTGTTAAAAGCTTTTGCAGAGCACTAAAAAGCTTTTGTATGTTTCCTGTCTTGGAATGCTGGTGCTCCTTAGGGGCTGAATTATAAGGTCACCCTGGAGCTGAGGCTGCTGAAGGGGAGAGTGCAACAAGCATAGACAGCAGCCTTCTTGTAGCTGGAATTTGGGACCACCTCTCGTTCAAGGTTCAAACGCAACCTCCCTCCTCCTCCTCCCCTCCTGAAATCAACCTCAGCTCTCTCCCACTCCCTCCTACCTGTAGCCTCTGTCCTGGTAAGGACACAGTCTGAACGCTGGCAGAGAGCAGAACCAAAAAGAGGAGAAATGAGCAGCAAGGCCATGATCGAAGCCCCAGCATCTTCTTAGCCCAGGGCTGGTGGAAGGCAAGGCAGGACTCGCAGCATCTGTGTCGGATGTGGTCCCTAACCCCTCTCTGCCTTTATAGCTTTGGTTCTGGCAGGCAACTGGCCCCAGCTCCCTGCTGAACCACCCCCTGGAGCTCCTTAACCTTTCAGCCCTTTTGTCCAGGGTGATATATTTCAGGGTGAGCTCAGCAAGACCCCTTCCTCTAAAGAAAAAGGACACAAAGGTGTTTACTGAGTGTCTGGGAAGAGAAATGTGAGTTCTGCTGCTGGCCAGGACCTGGAGGTGTCTCTCAGGGTCAGGGATGGGGTGACACTTCAAAACACGCCCCAAAAGGAGGATATTGAAGGCTGCATTGTGTAGGACTATTGAACATACTCCTCACAGGCAGAGTGCTGTTAATGTTATTTCTCTGATCAGTGTGAGCATGAACTGCAGCTCAGTTAGAGGTAGGAACAATTCTGGCTGCACAGAGTAGACACAAATTCAGCTCTGTGACAACACAGGCTTACGTTTTTAATATTTATATCTTGGTGAGACAGTTGGGCTGGGAATGAAGAACTCCTGCTGCACGAGGTGGGTGAATTCCAGTACTATACAGAATTTGTAGCAGTGACAGGAGCGTGGGTCTGGTACTATTAGCATATAATTTGCGGGCTGTCTGTCCCAAGTCACCATCTGGAGGACTGGGCTGAGTTTCCAGAGGAACCGTCACAGAAAAGAGCTTGTCAAGACTCAGCTTGCACTTTGTCAAGCTCAGGCACACAATGGGAGCAGGATAGCAAGGAGCAGATTCCTACCTCCTAAATCTTCTGGCCATTAGTTCCCCCCACTTTGTTTACCTCCTCCATTTTACTGTAGTTTCTCACCAGCCGAACAAGGCAATGAGGTCACTGTTTAGAGATCAGGGTGCAGAAGTCAGCCTGGGTATGGAGACAGAAACTAATCAGCAAAGTTTGTCAGGGGAGAGGAATGGGGGGACTGTACCCCAGTACAGGATTAGCAGTGGGTGTGCTGGGAGAGTTTAACAACACCCTGAACTTCCCTTTGTTCAGTACTGTTGCACAAAACAGGCCAGAACTTGACAGAACATGTTCTTCTGCCTACTTTTATTTTTTTCAAAGAAAGAAGAAAATTAGAAAAAGGTCTTCAGAGATAACAAAAGGCACAGTTCAGATATTTGCTCTGCCTCTCTTTCTCTCGTTCCCTCCCTTTCTTCCAGACATTTTCCACTTGCAGATGCAGGTTTGTGGGTCCATTTCTTCTCTGCCCAAGGAGACAGAAAGTTTTACAAACCTTTTGCATGCAGTCCTTGAGAACTGAGTGTGTGCCTTCAGTGTGGGGCACTGATGCTGGAAGCAGTGCTTTGCACAGCTGTGAACATCCAATTTTGTTACCTCCAGCTGATGGCTGCAACCCATGGTTGGTGCTGTGTCCAGAGCAATGTGATACTCTAGTGATCCTGTCTGGCATTCCTGTCACCCTGTCACCTGGGCCAGCACATGGAGGGGCTCCCAAGGTCCCACCAAGACATTTTGTGGGAAACAGGATTGCTTTCATACCAACTTGTGAATCTGCAAAGCACAGGGGACTGCTGGACAGTCACAGGACACGCACCCCACGTGGGCATTAGGATGGGGTGCCTGGGCACAAACGGGGTACAGGGATGTGTGTGCACAGCCAGCCCCTCCTTGTGCTGGATGCAGTAGTGTAAGGAGCCCTGTGGTGAGAAAGTTCCAGAGGGATGGAAAAGAAAGGAAGGACAGGAAGTGAGCACATGTTCATGCTGCATGCAAGGTGTCCCAGAGGATGCTGTTCTGTACTTCCCAGTCACATGTGGCCGTCCAGAAAGAGCTGAGTCAGTGTGCTCGAGCAGTCCTGCTGCCGGCAGGAGCAGCTCCGCCCGGTTACATGAGTCAGTCAGTCCTTTCCTGAGGGAAAGGTAAGTGCAAAAGCAACAGCGCTTTGGTTTGGATATGAAATGTAGCAGCAGTTTGATCTGGTATCCCTTGAATGGGGTGGCCCCCATACTGCAAGAAGAATGCCAGAAATGTGTTTGCAACTGCTCCAAAATTCCAGTCCACTTGCACAAAGACAGCCCTGCAGGGGTGGGCAGGCTGTGAGAACTCAAATGACAAGTGCCCTCCTTGGGTTCAGCAAGAGCTGGCGCTGGCAAGAGGGAAAAAACCATCACCCTCCCATATCAAGCAAGAAACTTCAGAGACTGCAGAAAATTTGCAAATTTTCTTGCAGAGTCTTGTAAATCCAGCAAAGCCTGAATAAAATGCAGGTGCTCAGTGACTCAGGTGCCGTGATGTTGCAGCTGCTCTGCGTCCCAGATCCTTGCTGGGACTGCAGTAGAACTGAATAGTTACTCTGACATGTCCTGGCAGTGACTGTGAAGTGAAAAGGCTTTGGCAGACAAGTCCTCGATTGCCCCAGTTTTCTCAGACTCAAATAGGTTATTGTCCTTTTTTCCTCTCTGATGCTAACAAGTTTCCTTTATAAAAACCCTTCCCCCTTGGATGCTGGGGCACTGACTCTAGAGTTTGCAAGACCAGAAAAGTGGTCTGCTGCTGAATCACAATCAGCCTTCTACAAACAGTTGCTCATATAGGAAAGGAGCAGGGCAACTGGAGACTGGGAGATCTGGGATCTGAGCAAAGTACCCTGAGGGGACACCCCTTGGCCCAAGGCGATAGAAAGGGATGATGGTTGCTGCAGGCTCTAGAAATGTAAAATATTCACATTATTCCACTGGTACCATTTGCAGGAGTTCAGAGCAACCATGGTCAGGAGTCCCTAGAGAATGGAAACGCCATTGGTCTTGGCACTGAGTAATCCCACTGCCTCAGGAGCAGGGGAGTGGGATTACTCCTTCAGCAGTGATTTATAGTCATTGTGGCAGCCACCAAAATATATGTTTGTGAGGAACAGAAGAGCAGCAAAGATCTACTTAAGGCTGTAGCCACTGTGTAACTGCCCAAACCCCTCTTGGGTTTTGCCTCATCTTTCTTCAGGACTTCCTTTGTCCATGACACAGGACTGCTAATTCTTCTGGTATCAGGAGAGGAGGGTGCTCCACCTGAAGAGCCTGCAGAAAGGGACCTATCAGAGCTCCCACCCACTGACTCCTCACTCTTACCTGCCAGGCAGCACGGTGTCTCAGTGTCCTGAGCAAAGGACAGGGAGCAAAGCAGTGAAGGAGCCAGCATATCAGTCCAGTCACTGATTGCCAAACCCTCCTTCCAGAAGGGTGACTCTGTGGATCTCCTGAAGGAAAAAGTTCAACCACTTGTAGCGAAAAAGTATGGCCTGAAGGTGAGCCAATACTTAGGTGTTTTATGGCCACCTCACTTCCTCTATCCACCCATTCATATCTCCCCTACTGAAGCATTACCAACATATTATCTCACATCTGCATGAGATTTATTCCTTGTAAAACTTTGAGCCTGGGCAGACATCCATATATGCTGTCCTTTTCTTTTTTTATTCCTGTATGTGAGTGTCATACCCTGTGGGTGGTGAGGGAATCACGTATGGTGTGCATGACTCTGTGTTGTATTTACTGTCAATGCTGTAGCTGCTACCTTTGCCTCCTGGAGCCCTCCTGAATATTTTATCAGGAAGGAGGGGAGAAGGACAACATTGCTGTAGCTTTCTGATCTTTGTATTTCATGTGATTGTCCTGAGGCTACTGGCGTGCCCTGGAGCTGGAGCATATCTATATTGGTATTTGGCTATTCTAGTCTGGAGGCAAGTGGGCAGGTATTTTCACTGAGTCATGGGAACTCAAGTGGGGTGTTTATAAATACACCTGTTACCCCATCATTCCCCACTTTACTTGTTTCTGGAAGCATTTAACATGATTATGTCCATTCAGGTATGCTCAGGTTAGTGTAAAGCTATGCACTTCCTAATTATTGTTTTTTTTTAAAAATAGGGATCAAAATAAGCTACAGCAGCTAGTTCTGCAGCCAGAGCAGAAGGGAACTGAGCAGCATGCTCTACTTGCTGGGAGAACCCAGGGCGAGCACAACTGTGGGAAGGTGGTAGAGCCTCAGACAGAGACTGCAGATCTGCGGGAAGCAGTGGAGAGGAGGAGCGCCCTTCCCATTCCTGCCCAGCTAGTGACTACTCTGCTTTCTAGGCAGCTGACAAGGTAAGAGGAAACATTTCTGTAGTAAGAGCTCTGGGACAAATGCCAACTTGCCTCTAGACAGAAGGTTAAAGGTTATTTATGTGATTAACACAGAATCTAATTTAGGGCACTTCATGTTCACAGGGCAGTTTAAGGAGTGCCAGGACTGACTTGAAAACTGATGTGGCATTTGTGAAATGAAAAAACCCAAGTGCCAATTTTACTTGAAACATAATTGGATTTGCAGCAAATACATTCCAGAAAGCAGTAAGACAATCAAGGGTATCAGTATACTTAGTAATTTATCAAATTAGCATTATTACAAGTTACTTCTAAAGTTTTAATTTTGGTTTTTTAGCTTTTAAAAGATGTATTTTTTCCTATGGACTTTACCTATTGTTTATTCAAGTGCTCTAGTCTAAGTTAGCATTTCTCTCTCTTTCTCCTCACACCCCATTCCCTGTACACTTCTTTGATGAGATATGCACAAGAAAAAGATGCAGGTGCCTTCACCTCAAAACCCTTGGCTTGGATTTACAGGATAAGAGCCTCAAAAAGCATGAAATATAAAAGGGCCTAAACCCAGCACCACTGCATTGGTCCTGTGATAACAGTGAATAGTGTAGTATAAAGCACATACAAAACAAGAAAGGAATGAGCATTTTGTACTCTGTGGGTAGTTTGGCTCTTCTTAGAAAGACTTTCTTCCAAAGATTAAAAAAAAAAAAAAAAGAAAAAAAAAGAGCAGCTTATTCTCATCTGCAAAGTCAGGGCAAAATCAGTCCAAGTGGCAACTGTGTTCACCATCACTGCCTTTCTTTGTGGAGATATCAGAAGAAAGGGTTGGAATTGCT